ACCAAACATGTGGAAGAAGGTGCTCTGGTCAGATGAAACCAAAATCGAACGTTTTGGCCACAATGCAAAACGATATGTTTGGAGTAAAAGCAACACAGCTCATCACCCTGAACACACCATCCCCACTGTCAAACATGGTGGTGGCAGCATCATGGTTTGGGCCTGCTTTTCTTCAGCAGGGACAGGGAAAATGGCTAAAATTGATGGGAAGATGGATGGAGCCAAATACAGGACCATTCTGGGAGAAAACCTGTTGGAGTCTTTAAAAGACCTGAGACTGGGACGGAGATTTATCTTCCAACAGGACAATGATCCAAAACATAAAGCCGAATCTACAATGGAATGGTTCACAAATAGACGTATCCAGGTGTTAGAATGGCCAAGTCAAAGTCCAGACCTGAATCCAATCGAGAATCTGTGGAAAGAGCTGAAGACTGCTGTTCACAAACGCTCTCCATCCAACCTCACTGAGCTCCAGCTGTTTTGCAAGGAAGAATGGGCAAGAATTCCAGTCTCTCGATGTGCAAAACTGATAGAGACATACCCCAAGCAACTTGCAGGTGTAATTGCAGCAAAAGGTGGCGCTACAAAGTATTAGCGCAAGGGGGCCGAATAATATTGCACGCCCAACTTTTCAGTTTATTTGTTAAAAAAGTTTAAATGATCCAATACATATCGTTCCACTTCACGATTGTGTCCCACTTGTTGTTGATTCTTGACAAAAAATTACATTTTTATATCTTTATGTTTGAAGCCTGAAATGTGACGAAATGTTGAAAGGTTCAAGGGGGCCGAACACTTTCGCAAGGCACTGTACCTATCTACCCACCGTATCCCTCTAATGAAAGAAAAAAACAACAAATCACTCAAAATATGCACCAGTAAATGATCTCCAATCTTTTTCTTTTTACGATGCATCTACAACCATAATGGGCAGACACGCTTGTTTTCTTTGCGCTGCTAATCCTCTCCATGGTTTCTAATGTGAACAGGATGTATGGCCACATCAGACCTTTCTACAATGACAAATCATGTGCACTCCAAAGACCTTAGTTGCACCCGCACGCATTCATATTTGGGTTGGGTCCAATAGAAGGTTGGCAATTTCAACAAAACAATCGGATTAACATGTCCAGACCACTTTGTGATTCAGGAACCCTGTGGTGGATGATTAATGTCAGAACCAATCTCAAAAGAATTGCAACTTGGAATAAAAAAAAATTAAAAAATGATGGAAAAGACTTACATTGGATTTTTATATGATGTTGAATGGGAAATATTTTGAAAGATTTTGGGGAGAAAATCTCCCGTCAAACCTGTCACAAAGCCATCCTGGCCCTGCCTGTTCTTGTAGCAGCTGTAAATTAACTTATTACATATTTTATGATCAAATAAAAAGACAAATGTATTTTACTACACTAGAGCATATAGTAGAATGATAGACTGAAACATAGTACAGGGTAGATTTAGCCTGGTTTTGGACATGGATGTGACTTGTACTTTGCACAGATTGGAAAATATGATAAAAAAAATATCAGCCAATTTTGAGTTTCATCAAACCATTTCCTCTGTCACATAAAAAAATTAATAAATCATAGAATAAGTCATAAAATAAAAAGTCTACCAACAAACAAATCATCTTTAATAATAATACAATATTTTGATTGTTAAAGGCACTAGACTTATCAGCTGTTTCCGCCATTTTAATAAGCTACATTGTTGCTAGATCATACAGCCTAGGCAATTTTTGGTTCATTCCTTTTGTAGACTAGCGTTGAGTTAGGCCCTTTTTGTTATATTTTTGAGTGACTGTTTAATGATTTTCTTACCATTGTGACTTGTTTTTTTCCTTCACAGGTCATAACACACAGCTACAGCTGCACCTGGTCCAGTCGGAAACTCTGAAGCACCAGATGTCCAGACACATTTTGTCACCTGAAAACCTGCATCTGTGCCCCAAAGGACACTCCTCCAAAGCCACCCTTCAGACTAGACTATTCAAGTAACAGGTAAAGGTTCCCATACTCCATATTTAGCAGCAGCAATGAAGATCTATGAACTGTTATCTACTGTGTTTTCTGTATGGGTTACTCCAGGGGTCTCCAACATTATTTGTTTGGAGAGCTTCTTGGCCAACAGAATTGGCAGCGAGCTACACTTTTTTTCAGTTGTCAAGTGGTCGAAGAAGAATAAATGAATCAAGCAACAGTCACCATTAAAATCCCTTAGTGTGATGGTGCCCCTGGACACCTGAGGCCTGAGCTGAGGCCAACAGCCAATGTATCAACAATAAATACCTTATAACTTATATTCAACAAGAGTTAAGCTTAATACAAGTAATAATTGTCCATTTAAGGAAATTTCTCCTCTACATTTGACCCATCCTTCATTTCCACCAGGTCAGGGGTGTCCAAACATTTTAGGAAGAGGACAAATCGGACAGAAAGACTTTGACTGTTTTTGGGGTGATCTAAGCTGTACTATTAGTGGGCAACACTGTGGCTGAGTGGATGGCACTCATGCTTTCTCCCCTCTTCTCTATATGTTCTTCCATATTCTCCCACGTTTAGAAACCGTGTGAACTGAAGATAAAAGAAAACAAAATCTATTGTGCAACCTGGGATTAAAAATACAGTTTTCATGTAACTTTGCTAGAGTAAGTGTGGTAACTGGAGCACTATCCTATGATTTCACTGTAATCCAGTATGAAATTACCTGCTACTGTACATGTAAATGTAGAGACTTCAATAATCTTTACTCGTTCAGGTTTCATCTGCACATCAAATAATGCACACAACAACAAAAATATATATTGCTCAAAGATGAACTTCCCTCCATGAAAAGTAGAGACAACAGTCCAGCTTGATGGAGTACAGGTCTAATTTTATTTACATGAGAACACTTGATATCCATATAGAACATTGAACAGTTATAATCCTACAGTCTAACGCTGCTCTTCAGCCGAGGACACTTTAGGACACATGTTAATAAAAGGTACAGGAATGAGAGGTTTGGGGCCAGGCTAGGATTTACTGGACACATTCCACTGGAGATACTGGACATAGATTGTGCTTGGGTTCAGACTACAGGCAAAATAACAAACTTTAATGTTCAATTCAAAAGTTTTCAGCTGCTGGATTTAGTTACACTCTCAAATAGCATAGTAATTACACTGCGTACTGATATATTTAAGCATTATAAATGACCCTTTGAACTGATAATTATTACATTCCACTAATTCATCAGAATTTTAAAATGCTATTTAAATAAAATAATATTTCTTGTGCAATTACATGTAATTATAATGTATAGTTACATAGTATAGTATCCTCCACATACATTTGTATTTTTATAGCTAGCTTTTGATGAGGCACTTTGTTATATTAAAAACTCTGTTTTGGTTTGTAGTAGTTGCAATTCAGGGTTAATTCAGTAAGATCTGATACATCGGTATACTTTATTGTCCTTTTATTTTATGGTGTTTGTTTTGTCACTTCAATAAAAGACAGTTTTATTTTTTATTATATTATATTCATTTAACTTTTGAAGAAGACTAATAAATCCTTCGAAGTAAATCTAACTGTGCGTCAATCAACAGACACGAGATCCAGCTTTTGTTTGGGAGGAGATCACGTGTTGATCCAAGTCGCAGTTGCATCTGAAGAATTCTTACATCGTTAGAGCAATTGCACAACTGTATCATTCAGAAATAACAACAAGTGATTGCTCTCTCTTTGTTTGGCACAAGGACAGATCCATTTCTCTGAACATTCAAGGTTATAGCAAAGAAAGTCCTGAAGCATTTCCTCTCTGTGCAAGAAGTTCTATAATATTGTCCTTTATGTACGTTCATGGAAAATAAAACAGTCCAATGCTGAGAGTGACTTTACATAACAGGGTTCCCACAAATCCAGCTTTGTCACAGTACCGGCAGAGAACATGTGATATACAGTTTACTACTGTAAAATAAAAAATAAAAAAATTATAATTTTGTTTTTTCACTTTTGAACCAAATAAGATAATAATCTTATTCTAATAATCAACCATTTACAAAACTTCCATAATTTATTACGAAACTATATACTACTATATTGCATAAATGTGGTGAAATACTCTTTAACTGCATTCAAGATGTCATTTACAACTGTGTTACCTGATTATTAATCCAATCCAATTTGATAAAAAAAATTATTAGTACCACATTTAAACCACTTGCACGTTGCCAGGATTGTAGTTGTCACTTTTTTGTCACATGTTGACTTTCATCCAAGCAATGAAAAGTCCAATTCCAACAGGGTGTACATACCAGAAATTGACTTTCAGGTAAAAAAATAAATAAACAACATTAACCTGCAAAAATATTTAAAGCATTAGAAGTCATTTCTGAAGAGACCTCTGTGGGCTCTAATGAATTGAAAAAGTGCTAAAATGTAAGGAATAAAAAATGTACTTGACTCAGGCTGCCAGCAATGCAGATGAATCCAGCTGGGACCATAATATCTGAATAAAGAATTTTGTCAACAACAAATCTATAACCAACACTTTTTTCACAAAGACAGGAATCGTGGTTTTAAACCTTGTTTTGTCATAAATAATTTGAGAATTATAACGAGACCTTTTTCAGTGCTGCGGCCACAAGTTACTTTACCAGTGAGAATAGCTTGATGTGGTGAGTTCTGGCAACCAAGATCTTGGACTTTCTGATTGGTAAAACGGTGGTGGGCGGAACATCGAAATGAAAACAACAACAAGATTTAGGGGCGTTAAAGCTAATTCAAATATCGCAGCTGAACTACTGCTATTCTTACATATTGCTACTTTAATATGGCACAAATTAGGTATAACTCAAAAACAAGCTGGAAATTGCATGAAAGCATAGATCAATGATAATACAGATTTAAAAAATGACCTTGATATAGAAAATGATTGCCCAGCGTGAGTAACATTTGTCATTGTCCATGTGAGCTGTGTGGGAACCCTGTGCTGTCTTGTCTTCAGTCCTAGCTGCTGATCTTGGTGAGCATCTTGTTTATGGCCTGCTTGACGTGCGTGGTGGAGCTGCGTCGGCGTGCTTTCCCTTGCACGGCTTTGCGGCGCCGCACTTCTCTGCAGAGCTCGTGGAAGGCCTCTGCCACCCCGCCGCTCGCATCCGCGCACGCTGAGCACTCATAAAAGGCGCAGGCCATCTCCGAGGCCAGGCGCTCTCCTTCCTCCGTGCTCACCTGCCGGATGTGCTCCAGGTCAGACTTGTTTGCCACTAAAACCAGCGGGACGTTCTTGGGTTTTTTGACTTCCTCTAAAAGTGTTCGAATAGGTGCCACCTCCTCAAAGCTGCCGCGGTCTGTGATGTCGTACACCAGGATGAAACCATCGCCCCAGCGCATGTGGCCCTCCTTCTGCTGGATGTCCTCCTGGAAGATATTAATGACAGAGACACTTGATAAATGATCATAATTCGATTCTTCACGTTGTTCATAAATACATTCAGTCTTACAAATGACAGAACACAAAGAAACATTTCTAGTGGAATAAGACGGCATTGAATACAAAGCTAGGGCTGTGAGACGGCTCTTATCAAGGTGATGAATGACATCTAGCTAAACACTGACGCAGTGTTCCTGTTAGATCTGAGTGCTGCTTTTGACCATGTCGTTCAGGAGATCCTCTTACACAGACTGGAGGACTGGGTAGGTGCATCTGGCACTGCCCCTAGTTGGTTCAAATCATATGTAGATTGAGATAACTTTATGTTTGGAAACTGCATTTAAAATCATATGGTCCTCATGAGTGGAGCTATGTATCCTTTCCTGTTTTGTAAAGTATTTTAAGTTACCATGTGTATGAATTGTGCTCAACAAATAAATGTGTGTTGTGCTCTGCCTAAGTGAAAACAATTGCTAAATACACACAGTACATGGTCTGGTTTATACTTCTTCATAAATGGCAGTAAGTAGATAGATAGCGCCCTCTGCTCTACCTGACAGGGTCACTCCACGAAAGTGTGATGTGGATACTGCATGGGCTGCGATTAATCCAGAAAAGAGCAGTGGAGGGTGGGATATGCAAAGACCCACTGTCTCTGCTCCACAACTTTGAGGTGAGCATGCCAGACAACCATATTGCTGTGCTTACTAGAACACCTTTATTGCTCCTCACGTCATGTTTTTCCTACATTGTGAGGGGAACTGCTCTTAGCGTTTAGGAGACATGAAGGTGGACTGGGTACTGAGCCTGGATATCAAGGGAGGTCTTTAATGAGGGGGGAAATTGCATATTACCATGCAGAAGTACAAGGGCTCAAGGTGTCTCTGATGTCACACAGATGAATCAAATTATAAGTCATTGTAGAGATGTTTTTTGTTTTTGTTTTTTCAAACTCAGATTATGTGGTATGTGAAATAAGAATTACAAATCCAGCGAGAATGGGGGATCACAAAAACCAAAGTAAATAAACTAGGGCTGTCAAACGATTACAATTTTTAATCGAATTAATTACAGCTTAAAATTAATGAATTGTAGTTAATCGCATTTCGAACTATCAGCAAAATGATGCCATTTTTTCTGTAAATGGTTGTTTGAATGGAAAGATAAATGATGATATAGTGTACATATGTACTGGTTTTTTTAATTATAAAAATAAATCCACATAAAACGGCAATAACATTATTAACATTCTGTCTTTTTGTAGTAGACACTATTTTTTCATCTCAACATATTCCACATCTGCTAAAGCCTCCTCTTTCTTCTTCTTCTCTGTCTAATAAAGGCTGTGGATGCTCTTCATTATTGTGCTTCTACAAACTATTGTTTGTTACAGGGATGAGGGACATTTTTGAAAACAGTCTGAAATGCATGTCAGCCGATGGCTGTCATTAACTCTGTTTGATTTGCTCACAACATTTCATTTTTGGCCACAAATAACATGAAATGGTAGTGCAAAGGAAAAGTTAGGTATCCCAGCTTTAATTTAGCGTCTTTTTTTGCTATTTTTTTGCACACCACTGTGTGCACAGGCGTGCACTGTGCACACAGTGGTCCTGTGCGTGTGCATGGCATTGGGTACATGGCCACGTTACGGCTGCGCGCCCCCGTGTTGTTGAAAGCCGCTCACAGCCGCTGGACGCGGGAACCACTGACCAAAGCGGCCGCAGTTGCCCCAGAACGCTGCGAACTCACATTCACACAGAAATTGCCCCGCAGTCACGTGCGCGGGGTGCCAGGTACTTGGCACATGCGTTAAAAGCGTTTATTTTTTTAACGCGATTAATGAGAAAAATTAATTAGCGCGAGTTAACACGATAATTTTGACAGCCCTAAAATAAACTCGTTGCAAATTGTGTGCTTTTCTGAGCTGTTCATTTTTGATTTGTATATATTAGACTATATTTAATTATTCTTTAGTCATTAAACTTAACCCGAATTAGTGCCGAATTCCTTTCAAAATGGTACCTGGAATGCTAAGAATGTTTGTGTTGTTTAGTGCAGTGAGAGTTGTACCTCGGCATAGGCATGTGCAGGAGTACTCAACCATTCTTCACAGAACTTACCTAGGAGTAATCTGTAATTTAGCTCACCTGTCCTGCTGTATCCAGGATCTCCATGGTGACCACCTCATCATCGATGTTGGCTTGATGCCGATACGTAGATTCTGAAATACAGACAGCGACATATTTGAGTCATTTGTTATAGATTAATTCAGTCATCTTAAAAACAAAATAATTAAAATATCATATAATCATGTTTGTTTTTGATTTTTATTTTATGCTGAATAAAGTATTATTTAATCATGCCATGCTTACAAATTAAAAGTTTGAACCAGTGGGATAGCAGTTTAGAGCATCTCTTAAATGATTAGCAAAAATCTAGAAGATGGAAAACACATTCATTTTGCTGTATCTATAATGCAAGGAGTATCTGTCTGTCCAACTGGATATCTGTATCACCTCACTGTTCTATATGGAAAGAAGCAGAATTCCTACAGGCAAGGCACTAGAATTGCAACATATAGTGATATTCAACACATACAGGAAGTCATGACTGATTATGTAACATTTGAGAGCATAGTGATGCCACATGTTATACATGTTCATGGGTTTTAAACTTCAGGTAACTAACACTAGAAGTTCCAGCGTTTTAGGCCCCCAGTCTAGAAGAAGAGAAACTAACTTGCTACTTTGGTTTCTAACATTTGCATGTCTTGCACGTCAAATGATGGACGACCAGACATTTTTCATAGTGGAGGACTGAGGATTTTAAATAACTGGGAGCTATTTGTGCCATTGCCGCACAAACACCTCTTAAAACACATTTAATAGTGTTAATGCTGATACTGTATTTAACCGCAGTTGAAAATGACAAAATCTCACACGACAAAAGGCACAGTTAAAGTAGTACTAGAATTTAATATGCTGCTATGCAGAATATATAACTACAAAATGTGTTTGTTATATTTTGGGTGTTCATTGTGACATGTTCAGATGAATTATGTTTAAAAAACGGCGTTGAAGCGGCACCTTTTCACTTCCGCATAGAAACGCTAGGGGGCGCCAAAATGGCGGCGATGACGTAGGAGAATGACCTCTTACAGCAGCTGACAGCAGTCTTGGCTGGAATCTGTAGGAAGTTTGACTGTCATCTGAACAAGGTATAAACATATTTTCATCCGTTTTGTACATAATAGTGTGCAACTCTTTTAACCTTTTAGCCTTATTTGTGAGATTCAAGATAATTAGTGTTGGGCAAGTTAGCTAACTCTACTTGATATCATAAAACATGCTAACAAGGCTAATATTCGTTTTTACATTATTCCAGTCTCACTTTGGTTGCCTTAGATTTATTCACCACAATGTACATTGTAATATTCAATAATGCTACTCAAAATAACTTGAATTAAATAAATATTTTACTTTTATGAACAAAAAGCTGCAGAAGTTGAAAACATAGACTACATGTGATGCAATCATTGATAAAAATGCTAATTAAACCGTTAATAGGTGTTAGCATTTATGAATATTACAATGTACATTGTGGTAAATAAATCTAAGGCAACCACAGTGAGACTGGCATAATGTAAAAACGAATATTAGCATTGTTAGCATGTTTTATGATATCAAGTAGAGTTAGCTAACTTGCCCAACACTAATTAGCTTGAATCTCACAAATAAGGCTAAAAGGTTGAAAGAGTTGCACACTATTGTGCAAAATGGATGAAAATATGTTTATACCTTGTTCAGATGACAGTGAAACCTCCTACAGTTTCAGCCCAGACTGCTGCTGCTGCTGTGAGATGTCATTCTCCTACGTCATCGCCGCCATTTTGGCGCCCCCTAGCGTTTGTTAAAAGGTGCCACTTCAAAGCCGTTTTTTTAACATAATTCATCTGAACATGTCAAAATGAACACCCAAAATATTATAAACACATATTGTAGTTATATATTCTGGATAGCAGCATAGTAAATTCTAGTACTACTTTAAGCCTTTTTAATCTTGGTTGCCATTTCCAAGGTGAAGTGATTTTTTAAACAGAGATAGAGCAGCCCTTTCTGCTCTATCTTTGGTTCCAAAATGAGATCTAACTCAGACAAGGCTCAAACTTCTTTTTGCTAGGCTGCAAGCCCAGCCCCCTTACAGTTTTAAAGCGGCACCATTGATATTTAGCATATCAATAGTACAGAACAGGAAAAGTGGCAGTGACAATGGCATTCCCACAAGGGCTTGTATTGGCCCTCTTCAAACAACCCTCTTCGTCCAGACTGGCCGGAGTCAACAGTGAACTCTACAGTCTAAAGCCCAGTTTACACGGAGAAAATGCAGCAGTAAAACGCTATAGTTGGATGTCGATTGCTACCCCCCATACCCCCCCCCCCCCCCGTTCATACGCAGACTGTGTTCCAGGGGGGTGAAAACGTAAGTGTTCAGATCCAGCCTGCAGGACAGCTCAGAAACGCTGCTCAGCGGGGGCTCTCTTTCCCACGAAAGGTGTGATTTCTTTGCCTGCTCTGACCCCCATCTCCCTGCTGTTCCCCGCACGTATATTTGGACATGCACATTAGCCGAGAACAAACAATGGCGGCGGGTAAACTGACTAGCTACGTGTGCTTTGAGCGCTACACAGAGGATAATTCTACTCCTTCGTTCATCCAAACTAGACCACACAAAGCTCTAGGTTCAGTTTCTATTTTCGCAGCTGCTGTTAAAATGCAGAATGATGTTGATCCATCTTTCCGCGTCTTGCAGAGGAAGTGAGTATACTGCGTATACTCGCGTGTGTGTGTTGTAAAGTTCCTCTGCCCACTACTGGCCGGGCGCTAGAACTACATCGTCTTTGATCCTCGTATGACCGCTAGCGAGACCCGGACTGACTGTAGTCTGTAAATTGTCTGTGTGTGCTTATGTCCAGATAACTGTAGTTTGAACCACCATTCACAAAATGTATTAAAGAGATTATGTTGTTAAAAATGTGACCAGTTTTTTTATGAAAAAACACACATAAAAACTGAAACATTTGTGTTTCATAGTATAATTGTTATCCCAATATACCATATTCCCCCTGTTGAGACATAACACGGCTCAAAACTGAACATTGGTCCCAAAATGTATTGACTTGAAATGTATTTAACCCTAGTTATCAATTTCAACTCCATGCACGCCCAAAGGCCCAAAAACCCAAAGTCCATTTTCACAATCCATAGTCCAAAATCCATATTTGACACTTCCTCTCAGCCCCTCTTCAGTGTAATGACCAGAAATGTCCACTCTGCACTGCAGCAGCAAGCAATACTCCAAACGGGAGTAAATATACCAAAATGTCACCTCCTTTTTATCACGTCCATTCAACTTGAACAAACAGCTTTTGATCCTTGCAAATCGTCCCGTGATTAAAATCCTAAGCCTTTGGTGAAAATCTAAGTTTTTCTTTAGTTGCTTCAAATGCAAATAAGGTATTTTATCCCAAAATAATTCTGCTTAAATACAAGTCTTAATGGACTATACACTTCCAGATCTAATAAAACAATATCGTTACAAAGACACAGGAATTCTGTAACTACTGTTATAGCAGTTCTTCAAATACTTCAATTGTTGACAATTTAAAAAATCATTACAGCTTATACACACTATAGTATAATACAAGTATATACCATCCACTGTATATGTTGAAACTGTTTAAGATCTACTAAAATATTGTTTGATTGTAAAAATTATGTTGCCTTCTGAGTCATGTCCTGCCTCCACACATTCTGACAAAGGACACTGTAATCCATTTTAAGACCATTGTGTCAAACAAAAGTTGATACATCTTGTTCTTTTCATATATACTCCAATTTGTGATTTCATCTTTTGAGGACAAAGACACACACAGACAGACACATGCACACACACACACAAAGATACACACACACACGTTATACACATACAATATCTTAAAAGCTGAATTTGATATGAAATACCGCAACTTGTGTATTAATATTTCCCTTTTAAAAAATATTCACAATTTACAATGTCTTGATTGTGGTTACACTGAATATGTTCAGTGTAACCACAATCAAGACATTCAACCTGGAGAGACTACAAGAGACGAGATGCGTTTAAGAGTTGTTTATTTTATGGATTGAGTTTGTTTATTGGTTTGGAGCTTAGGCCCCGGCAGTGGCCGTGCTCTGAAGAGATCTGCGCCTGGGTGCAGATCATGATCCCCCGGGGCCTAGACACTGGTGGTGGCAACGAGGCAAGGTGAATGTGAGAGTGAAGAAATCCTGAGGCGGAGGTGGGGAGGAGGTGGTTGCAGCTTGAAGTCCGTTTGGTGAGCTGTGCTCTGCTTTGCTCTTAAACGCTGGCTTGATTGACACGGCTGCAGGGAGTTGATTAAGACAGGCTGAGTAAGGCGTGGTCAAGCCTGGTGTGATAACGTAGGTAGTCTACCATACTGAACCTCCGCTTAAGCTCCATTTCAACCTGGAGAGACTACAAGAGACGAGATGCGTTTAAGAGTTGTTTATTTTATGGATTGAGTTTGTTTATTGGTTTGGAGCTTAGGCCCCGGCTGTGGCCGTGCTCTGAAGAGATCTGCGCCTGGGTGCAGATCATGATCCCCAAAGAGAGAGCTTGGCTAGCGATGCGTTTGCCATGACTTGGTTGCTGCGTTTATGGAAGGCGCATGGTGTGAGTGACTGTTTCCGTGCGCGAGCTCGGCTCTAGCGCTAGGCGTTGGCACGCGCACGAGCTCGGCTCGAGTGCGCGGCGTAATGTCCATGCGCGAGCTCGGCTCTAGCGCTAGGCGTTGGCACGCGCACGAGCTCGGCTCGAGTGCGCGGCGTAATGTCCGTGCGCGAGCTCGGCTCTAGCGCTAGGCGTTGGCACGCGCACGAGCTCGGCTTGAGTGCGCGGCGTAATGTCCGTGCGCGAGCTCGGCTCTAGCGCTAGGCGTTGGCACGCGCACGAGCTCGGCTTGAGTGCGCGGCGTAATGTCCGTGCGCGAGCTCGGCTCTAGCGCTAGGCGTTGGCACGCGCACGAGCTCGGCTCGAGTGCGCGGCATGCTGGAAATGAGGAGTTGCCACCACCAGGAGATGCATACGTACTTATATGAGAGGAGGCGCTGGGCTGCCAGAACGGATGAATGTGGTAGAGAACCGGGGACCAAGCTCCTGGAG